GCGAGAAAAAAAACTGCTTTTTTAGTTGTTGATTCTGCTCTCTTCACCGCCGGGTAGCCTTATAACTTATAGTTTTGGGATACGATGGAACTACTATACAGGTTGTCTCACGGTTGTGAAACAAGGAGGGAAAGTTCTTTAAATATTGTATATAGGGTGTAATCTTAAGTGTGTCCAGACGATTATGAAATATCAAAAATCTTTAAGCTGATATCCAATACCTAATGAAAAAAACGACGTCAATAACTTTTTAAGAATAAAACTAGAAACATTTTTTAATGTTAAACGCCGCCATACATTCTATATGACATTTGTAGAGAGGCTTCAACTGTAAGAGGTAACAATAAGTTTGCAGATAACGGAACTTCTATAATTAAAGTAATAGAGCTATCTTTTAATTGAATAAAAACAAATTTATTTTTATTTTTAAGTAAGTATAATGTACGAATGTCATATTAAATATATGGGAGAGTTGTACGTTAGAATTTTGGATATTTCTAGTGTTATTTAAAAAAGTTATTGGTGTTGTCGTTTTACTCATCAGGTAACTTATGTTCGATATCAATTTAAAGGTTTTGATATCTCTTATATTTACGGAATAATTGCCTGGGCACACTTAACGATTACACCTTGTATAGGGATATTTCGTTTCATAGAGACATTACATTATTTTTAAAAGTAACTAACACTTGCATTATAAAAAATCTTTAAAAGGTGCTTACCTCACCGGAGTATCGAACTGAATGAATGTGAAAACAGTCCTGTATTTTTATGATACTTTTAAGTAACATAGTATTTTAAATTAAAATAATGTTTCCATGAAGCAATATAATTATGTTATCTACAATATGTAAAGTACCTTGCCTCCGTGACGCATTGCCATGGGACACCCTGTATATTATTCTACATACAAAAGTTCTTTAATAGAAAGAATAAATATTGCTCGGGAAGACTGTGGCCAAGCGTCTGTCTATTTTATACTAAAAGAAATAAGCCGGCAATTTCTAAATATGTATACTGCCTGATTTTGTAAATAGTAGTAGTTATACTTTCCACATTTATTGGCCTGTTATTTTTAACCGACTCAAAAAAAAAAGAATTACTCTGACATCAGCGAACCGATTTCGATGAGTCTTTTTGTTAGAAAGGATGTAGGATGTGGTCCCGTTCAAAAATTTTAAGAAAATATTCCACCTTTGGTGACGCCGGTTTAATGAATTTCTACAATTTCCCGTTAAGCGATTTCAATAAATCATGGCATATGGATCTAATTCTTATGAAAATGGACAAGCACATTTCTGAGGCCGTTTTTAAAGTTTCCGTCACTGTAAGGGTGCCTGACGAGATCGCTATGCAGCTTTAAGGCATCCCCTTGTGCTCTATTTTTCATCTCTTCTTCGTATCTTTATTGTGTTCTTGTGTGTTGATATAACTAAAAACAAAGTAATGTGAATCATTTTGTTGCAACTATACAAACAGGCGGAATCTAATGGAGTTCTTTAAACACAATACGTTACTGCTTATATTAACAATATTGAAAATAACCGTCGCATCAAAATAGCAATGTACAAGTATGTACTTTAATAAGAATCCAACGTAATACGCTAATTTTGTAGGACGCCGATGACATAACACTATCAAATAAATATTGAACTATTTCTACTTCGTACTAATCTAGAACGATAGTTCAAGAGATAGTGGTGGGATTGTAGAGCAGAAAACCAGATTACTAAGAGTTGTTACCGCCTTAAAGTAGCATGGAAACACGGGCCAAAGTTAACAGGAAGTGAAGTGTGTAAAAATAAAAGAACATCACCGTCCATAGCCTGTCACTTTAGTATAAAATGGAGTCGGTTTTTATGATGAAATCATTTCAGTTAGTGCAACGCAAGGTGTCCAAAAATGTGCTCTGTGTATTCATATGTGAGTTTTTTTGTGTTAATTATTAGCTTTTTAACGTGCTTTTTGTGCTTTGAAAATGTGAAGTTTTTTTAACGATAGTAAATTTCTAATACAGAGATTCATTTTGGTTTAAGTTATTAAGAGTGGTTCAAACTGAGGACTTCTTCTGGGTTCTTCAGTTTCATATTTCATTTAGACATTGGACAGAATGTCCTTTAACTAACGAGCTACAGTTAGAAGCTTTTAAGAATCGATATTACCTTTATTTCAGAAATTTTTTTTACAAAGTTAAAGCCCTTTCAAAATTGTATATAATATAGTATACATGTTCTATTTAGTTCAGTTCATATAAAACATCATTGGTATGTGTAAAGTCATATTGAATATGGCGGTTTTCTTGTAAAATTTCGAAGTAAGTTTGTGTTATTTTTGAAATCGTGTTTTTAAACCGTATAGTATAATTACTATACGGTTTATTACTAATAACTTTAACTAACTAGTTTAGACTAATGTCTATCTTCTCAATTTTACTATATATTCTTTCCAAAGTGTTTGTAACACTTTCACTGTTATGCAAAATCAACCAAAGCCATATGAGGTAGTATAGACCCTTAATTAGTTCCTGCCATTTAAAACCAATGGGGTCAGTTACACTATTTGCATTTGTTCAGTGATCGAGTGGCTTGCACACTGTTTTTCATGGTGTCGCCATCTCTGACGTTGGATCTCTGGCCGAGACAATGTGGAAAACTAACATTCCTATATAGTCTCGGATCTGGGTGTTTGTGATGTGGTTCCATATCACAAGTGCTTTAGTTATTTACTGTGAGATCAGATCAGCGTATGTGATATTGCCTAAATTTTTTTATTATTTAAAAATTAAAATCAAATTACGTGCATCTATAGTAGCATCAAAGAAAGCAAAAACTAAAACGCCTAAACAAAATTGTTGAAGCTCTTGGGATAAGTTGATTAAGCAATTTTGCTAATAATATATGACAGGCGCTGGTTAAGTTAGTATAATTATTTGGTATTCTGGGACCCTTGATGCTATGATGATGCGCCTGATAGAAGAAGTGCCATATCACCATATTGTAGAACAGATAGCGAACCGTTGATTTCTACTTCTTATTGAATTGTTAGGCTCTTGTCGGTGGATTACCTAATAGCCAATCGTCTCAGTCCAATAATTCTTTCTAACATGACACGCTATTTTTCCTTAACGTCGGCAATAAAGACATTAATACAACCGAAACAATATCTGTCAATACTATCATAATATTTTTACCCTAAGTAGCATCACCTGTTGTTAAATCTATTTAAAAAAATTCACCTACACAACCTTTGAAAGTAAAACTTTCATAGTTTAAAGTAACTGAAAATTTTTCCTATTACCGTTGAAAATAAAGTACGATAGACAAAGAATGATATATAATAAATTCCGAGCAAAGAACCATCGGACCGTAGCATTGTAAAATGTGCTTTACGAGCGCACCAACAAGCGGGGTGTATTGGCCATTAATGGTAAATATTGGTCATAAACATTGGCCATAAAATACCGCAAGTGTCCATGTGTCAACTGTATCGCACAACGTTGGTCAAGTGTAAAAAGGTTTACATTGACAAAGGGTTGAAAACATACGCTGAGAAATTTAATATTGAGACTCTATGAACTTTGTCTATGTGGGAGATTCAATTTGACAGTCAACATTTTCTGCCGCTGTTACTTGAAAGGGCGCATGTGACAAAACTCAAAACTTGTTTAAAGAAATCAAATTTAATAAAAATATCTACTTTTTTCTTGCGGTAGCTTTCAAGCAAAATAAAAATGGTGACCGATCGTCATTTTTTTACAGTATACATAATACATTTTTTGAAAAAAATGTTTCATACACCCTTTCAACTAACAGCGGCAGTATTGGTGTGATGGTTAATGGTCACATGCGAAATATGAGTGGTAATATTGTCAGTTAATAAAACATACGTAATCTGTTCTAATTGCCACTACAATTGTAACTATTTATATAGATCCACGACGAGGTCATAGAACTTGCATGTCCAGATATAAAGAGGTCCAGTAACTACAAAAAAAGTTGTTGAAATAAGTATTCGTTTACAATAGATTTTAATTTATATGGCAAAAATCATAAAAAGGTTTAAAGTTTCTGGTTAGGTTTAAATATAGAGATATAGGAGTATTTATTTGTAAGCTGACAGCGTAAATACAGTTTACATACATATTTAAGATTACTACAAGAACTACAAGAGTGTAGTTCAGCGTGTTGTGCCTGCAATTGACGTACAAATGTTAATTGCAAAGTATACAATGGTTGCATTTATTTTTAAAGTCATATATTGCATTATATGATTAGAATATTAAAATTGAATAATATAATTAAAGAAAAAACAAAAAAAAACGAACGCATTTAGTTAAGGCCTTTAAAGTTAATTATCTTTAGATAAACCCGTTTCGATTATTTGAGATAGTTTTATCTTTCTGTTTTCGAAGCGCATAAAAGAGCAATTATAGAATAAAGCATAAAGTTTAGAAACAGTTAGAAAGGAAAAATGTTCCTAAACCGTATGTTTTCTCTAACGCGTCGTGGACACCGATATGAGAAACAACCAGCCGTGTTACACGCTTAACTGCCACTTTCAAGAGGAAAACAAACACGGTCTGCGTAGGAGTGATAATGATAGAAAAAGGTTTGAGGACGTTTGCTAAACTTTTCCATCATAGGACGGAACTATAACTTCCGAGATAACCTTTAGCTGTTTAACGAGCGGCATGTTTTTTGGTTCCTGTGAGAGAAATACTGAGTTCCCAACATTTTCCAAGTTTAAACTTCTTTTATATTGCACTTTTGACAGAGCGATTGTGGTCCGAGGAGTATCTTTGTTAGGGGCTGATATATGGCTTTCGTGCACTCAAGGACCGTCCACTGCAGACTTTATTTGGTCCACTCTCGCGCAGTCTAGTACCCTCTACTCTGATCTGTATAACAAGACGCTCTATGGAGTCAAAGCTCCGTCTTGAGACGTGCCCGAAAACATTTTAACTTCAAACTAACCCTAATTTTTATTTACAGTTAGCAGTCGCGCTGCTCATGGCGTCAGCACTAGCAGAAGAAACGCAACAAGAATCGCAACAACAGCAGCTACAGAATCAACAACAATGGGTTCCGTACAACATGAACGTGCAATCGTGGGGGCAACAGGGATATGGGCAACAGGCATTGGGACAGATGCCACAGTGGGATCAACAGGTACGCCCATCTCCGCAACAAACGCTATTATAAAAAAAATATATGCACACTCAAGCGCTGGCAGATTCTTGGCGTAATGTATTTTTTTTTGCAAAGCAGAGTGCACGGACCCCTCAGGGGTCCGTGTAATGGATGCCCGGGGTTCATGGCAAAATTATCTAATGCATTATGCATTAATATAAAAATTGGTATACATTATATAGGTACTGTGCGTTTGACTTTTTAACTTTCACACAGTTTGACGGCTGTCCATTATTTGAGCAAGCGAGACGCGCGTCAACGTAACCCTTTCTTCTTCTTCATCTTTCCGGAAAGACTTCGTAGGCTCTTTGAAATTTTGAGAGGGGTCCAAAAAGGTTATGAAACCCTGGTGTAGAGTGAGGATAATGCCAGCACTTTATAATAACACAGCTACTAGATTTCATCAAGGTCATGAAGTCTTCCATAAGTGACAAACTTTAAATTCCTAATATAGTTCAATTCGTAATAAAATGTTTTCAGTGAAACGCAACGTCGTATAAGTTTCAGAATCACCGAATTTCTCCAAAACAATACAACCTACTTAATAATAAAGTGTTATTCGTTTTCTGAAGCAGATTCTCATTAATCCAAGACAAAGGCGATTGTTTGGTTTCGGAGACGGTTGTTTGTTAACCAGTGATTAGGGAGGGTTTTGGAGCCTCACCGTGTAAATAGCAGGTTATTTAATGAATACCCTGCTTTAATACAATGTCTTACGACATACTCTACAAAAAAACAATCGCGTGATTAACTCAACCGGTATGGAATAGAGGCAGCCCTTCTCTTTTTGGCCTTATAAGAAAGCTCGAAGTCATTTGGCGGATCGGAGAGATCTATGTTCGACGTGGTTTATAACGGCCCGCTAGACCGATAACCCTTTAAAAGTCGCGGTAAGCGGTTAAGATTGTCCAAAATATCGTTGCTTGTTCAGCAGTGAATGTCGAAGGGAAGAAAATGAGAGAGAATAGAGACTAGGAGACATATTATTCCGTATTAATAAACAGGTCTTAAGTTCGGTATTAAGAGTCTGTACAACCTCTGCTGAAAGTGTTAAATCAATTACTTAAAAAAAAAATATATAGTAAAATTGAGGATGTACACTGATTACTATGTGGCGTAAAAACACGGTTCCTGAAAATTTGCACGATTGAAAAAAAGACATAAACTTACCTTACATATACCAATGATTTTTTTTATAGCAACTTAACTAAATAGAACACGTATATTATGCTATTATACATTTTTGAAATGGCTTCAATTGCGTTTGCAAAAAAATTAATTCTGATATAAAGCCCAAGTAAAATTAACCGCGTTAGTACTGGGTAAAATTTGAATTCGGGGAGAATTCTACACCATGAATGCATGATATCTCAAGGTGTAAAAGACTTAGACAATGTTGAGCGCGCTTCAGTCATAAAATTATTATTAAAGACAGTGAAGATCTTAATATCATCTTGAATTTGTATTATATTGTACACTACCTATACATATAAGAAGGAAATTCAATTAAGTTGCGCCGGTTAATAGCTTGATAGCTAAAATTCACACAGTATTGTTGTTTTCACTTTTGTATCTTCAGACTTGAGCGAGAGCTTAGCCATATTTACAATATTTATACCGTATTTCGATTTATTGAAGCGAAAATTTGAGCCAGGAAGGACTTGAAATTAAAAAAGAACAAAGATTTATGTAGGTACTGTTGGACGTTTGTTGTTAAAAACAGTTATTAAGAATTCATACCAAGTCTAGACCCAGACTTAATTGGTTTTTTTATGTTACAAAACTGTTTTCTAGATTATCTTCGACTCGTTTAAAACCCCAGTGTCCAAAGTGATTGCGCCAGCAATGTTTTTTCTTCTCTTTATGATTTCAAGTGATATTAAGTACAAACAAGTCGAGTGCCTGTATGGTAAGCGACACGCCTGACCAGAATAGTTGCAGTGCTACTCAGAGCTTTAAATCGCAAAGATCTGAAGGGCACTGCCACTGCGCCCGTCTCTCTGATACTTAAGTTGACAATGCCCATGTGCCTGTAATTTCACCAGCAACATTGCCCTTCAAAGGCGGGAATCAATAATGCTCATATTAAAAATAGGTAAGGTGGCAGTATTTCTCTGGACGAATTCTTTTACAAGGTTACTACAACTTTATTTCAGTCCTTACAGCATGATGTTGTTATCACGTTTATATGATGGGTTAAGTTACAAACTTACGAGGTCCCAAAAATAAAGTCAATGAACGATAAAAAGAAAGATTTATATAATAAAAATAAAGGATGATTTCCAAGTAATAATTTAACAAAGAAACCATTTACCTACAGTACACGCGTAGGCAAAAGCGAGCAACTCGTGTTACAAAGGCTTAGTATTAGTAACCATTTTTTCTTGGTAAACGTACATAAAAGGGAGACATTGACGTTTTAGTTATATTGTAGATATGAAAGGAAAAGCATGAAAATAGAGTGAAAGTTGCATGGTATTTATTACATTTGAAGACGGAATGCAAAACATTGTACGAAGAGAGCGTTGTGGTGGAAACCACAGAACAACAAATACAATAGAAGTGTTGGTTAGCGTTTGACGCGTGCCAGCTATAGGTCTCGAAAGGCCTACTTGAGCTCAGTTCGCCATTTTAGCTTTGTACGGTATGGTTGTGCCATTCTTTCGTGCAAATTCTCTAAAAGTCTAAAAAAATACCTTATTATAATAATAATAATAATAATAACGCACACACTCAACATAGCCCCGCACTAGGGAAACCCTGTGTCGCGGGTGCCATGGACACACACATAGACAACCACAAATTACACCCAAACTCACGAGAGAAATAAATGTAGGCCATACAAATATTTCTCCCGACCCGGGAATCGAACCTGGGACCTCCGCGTGGCAGTCCGGCATGGTAACCGTTTGGCCACAGAGGCAGTTAAAAGTTATTATGCTGTTTTGGAGTGCAAAAATGCAACTTATATTAATAAATTTTCAATTTTCTGTTTATCATAAAGCTTATACTTCTGCAATATGGTGGCTTCCTTTTCGGAGAACTAAATTTATAACTCCAATTCGTCGTCGTTCAGCAATTAACCGCTAGATGGCAGCACATTGATTGAAATTTCGGTATAATATCAAAATGTCGTAACTTGCAATAATAGGCAAAGTTTAAATTATATTAACAATACAGAATTTGTTTTTTTTTTTAATTGAAAGTACGACCAATTAATATCAAGATTTTGTAGTGTTTCATATGAAGAATATGTGAGTTTTGGCTACATCGGTTCTGGTATTAATCGAGGCTTAAGGTACTTCCATTCTGGAAACCTTAGGTACCCATTTCTACCGCCAAGCAGTAATGATTAATACTGCGTTTTAGTTTTGAAGAATAAGGGTGCTGGTGAAATTACAAGCACATGGGACTTGCCAACTTATGTCTCAGGTCTTTGTTCTGCTATAGACAAACGTGTTGCTTCCCACCAGACGCGCGACTTGTTCATCCCGTCACGTGATCTCGTAAATAAACAGTGTTGCCATTACGATTAAAATACATTAATAAAATCAAAAGAACCTTTAACAGAAAGGTTATTATGTACAAAGCTGAACATTATGTTTATTACCGGTCTTTTTGATGTTTCTCGTAAAGAAAGATTTCCGGCAGTATATTAAAAATTCACGGGGAGGCCTACCTTTCCAAGGGGATTGCTTACATAAAGGGATGGTTTTGAAAGTGGCCCCTATATTATAAAAAGAAGAATTAATAAAACAACAACATCTGAAAAATCTTCGTAGAGTAACATGTATTTATTATGATAAAATCATGTATGCATGATCAATCATAAGTGTAAGTCTAAAAACTCTGTTTAACCCATTGGAAATAGAATAGACACACGTAGATAATACATATTCTTGGTAATACGAACTAATCATACTCATTTTTATCTTTCGAACCATTGACTTACAAATAAATGGACGACGGGTCTAATACAAAAACTACGAAAAAAATGTCCCAAGACAACCTATTTAAACGTAGTGACATGTAAAGGAATATGTAAAAGCTAAAACGTTGAATTTAAATTGCAATGTCATCGCAGTACTGTCTAATTTTGCTTGCTTCGCTGTCAGTCGAACAAACGAAGACTAAAGCGTGAATGACGCTCTGTATACGATTTTAACGCCCTATAAGTTCGGACACTTTTTAGCGCGGACCCGACGTCCATATAATTGTAAGTCAATGGTTTAACCCATTGGAAATAGAATAGACACGCGTAAATAATACATATTCTTGGTAAAACGAACTAATCATACTCATTTTTATCTTTCGAACACACATTTTGTATTTTTCTAGTGGTGGATATCACATCGTCCTTCCGTTCGTCGTAATCGTTCGTCGCTGCATTTATTAAGTTAAACGTATAATATGTTGATTGGTATATTTTTTTTCCCCCTTTAGTACATATTTGCGGTGTATTGTTATCAAAAAGTACATTGAAAATTATTAAACATACTTCGGAATTTAATATTCAAAATCCTGTTAGCAAGATACATATTCGAAGAGCAAGAACAACTCCCATGTCTACTATAAATATTATAACAAAACTCAAACAAGAATGCTCGAACACAAAACTTCCGTCTTAAGAGCATTAGACTTGGAAACTTTAAGTGTTGAGTGCAAGATTAGTTAAGATCCTTCAGAATATCTTTCCAAAGACATTCGTATAAAGTATAGAGTTGGGATGATGTTATCGAAGTGTTTTTCTCGGCTATGGCAAAGAGAAGTAGGTTTTTTACGCTTATATGTTTAATTCGCTTATTGTATGTTATCCTCCTAAAGCCAAAACCGATAACTTACTTCAAAAATGGAGGAGGCTCTCAATTCGGTCGTATTATGTTTTTGCTTATATATTACGCAATTATTCCGATATTTGTGAACATATTTCGATGATTCTTTTTTTGTTTGAAAGGGAGTACATAGGTTGTTTTCAAATT